ACTCTGGGTGCCTTTTCTCATTACCAGGCTTTCGAAGTTTGAATCCTCCACTGACAATTGTTCGCAAGACATTTGAGTCCACAGAGAACCCAGACGACTTCTTGCCCTCGGTAATGACTTGTGTGAACTATCTCAAGTTGCCGGACTATTCAACTATTGAGATAATGCGTGAAAAACTCTTGATAGCTGCAAGAGAAGGGCAGCAGTCATTCCACCTTTCCTGATCACAATGAAAAATACAATGTCTGCCTGTTACAGCAAGAGAAACTCATGATTCTTTTCTAAATATATCACCTGAGTCAAGGAAACTTGTTACGCCTTCTTGTAGAAAAGCGGCTTGCAGATTATAAGTAAAGACACTTGGTTGATATTCATTAAAGGCCCCTATGGACTTAAAGTAATCAGGCCCTAAAAGTTGTTGTGACAAGATTTCTTTAGCAAGTTCTTGTTTAAATTATCATTTATTCAATGAGTGAAATTTTTAACTTGCTTTGCTGTGTGAAATTTAAAAAGGGATGTTTTTCCAGGCTGGAACAATAAATGTCGCTGTGCAGTTTAATACTGGGCTGTGTGTATCCATCTAGCTAAGTCTGAAGTTTTTCCTCCAAAGACAACTTTTGTACATAAGTACAGAAATTAAAATACACCATGTATTTGACAAACCTAGTTTAGTAGACTAGTTCTGTGTACCCTCACCTGCCTCTAATTTTACACATCCTCATGTATTGTCTGATGTGCAATTCACTTGGTTCTTTTTGTGTGCAACATTCGACAATTGTTATGTTTTGGTGAGCGTGGGCATTTAGCTCCATGCCTCTTTTTCTGATTAAGATAATTTAAATTTTACTGAAAATCAAATATATATTGTCAATATAATTCAGCCTTTGTAAGTGGTTAGAACCTTTCTTATAGCATAGTTTTACTGTAGTGGTAGGATATAATGGCGACAGTTTTTACCAGTCGACGCTCTAGAGCTGTTTACACAGTGATGCAGGCAGTGGAAGCCTCTTACTAGAGGCTGGGAAGAATTCTTTCATGTAGTTGAAGTCCAACAGCTTGGGCTGGCCGTTGTGTATTGTGATAAGGCCAGAGCATTTTGAATTGATGTAAAATTTTTTTAAAAGCCAAATTAGGTGTTTCTTTC